CACGTCCTTCTTGGGAAACGGACAGACAGACGAACACAGAGGCGATGGCATAAGCCCGCTTATATAGCTTTTAAGCAAAAGAGCGGGCTAAAAAGCAAACACGGTTAGATATTTAGATAACAAAAAAGCAACAATAGAATATAGTTTTGTCAAAACATTTCAGCAGTTGATAAATTAATTTATCACAAGTAAATTTCACTAGTGCCACCAATTATACTTCCATCAGAAAAAAGCCAAAATAAAACATAGTTATTGTCAAAAATTAGAGCAGTAAAAAATTAGCATATCACAAGTAACATTAACTAAATAAAACAGTAATCTCAGATTAATAATTTTGATAAGCCTTGTCTTGATTGTTGACTGGGTGTGGAGGTGGAGTTGTGAAATAGGTTTCCACTTGGGTTACAACTTTGGCACAGGTTGTCACTCTTGCTTTCCCGTTCAACTGCACACCCAAACAAACTTCTATACCTTTCTATCCATAAGCTTCATCTTCTCTCTTCAATTCTTGTAAGGTAACTCCGTTGCCAGCCATTTTATTTAGCATATGGTCAGAAAGATGACCACGCAATGGAGCCAGGGCTGGTAGATTGGCCGCCTTTTTCCTTAGACTTGCCTGCCGTTCCATGAAGTCCCCGATGTGAAGAACATGCTCCTTTTGAGTCTCTTCACTGACTTGGAAGTGCTGCAGCAGACCATCAAGTAAGATGCAAACAGGAGCTTCTTTGAGAGTAGACTCCCACTCAGGTCCAGTGAGATATGTTTTTGCCAACAGCTCTTGCTTTTTCATTTTTCCTTGCTTGATGAGAGGCATTGTATCTATAAGTCCAGTGACAATTTCACAAAAGTCCTTAGCCAGGGACAAATTGTTCATTACTCTCAAAATCCTGGGCGCATCAAAGCTAACAATGTTGTGCCCGACAAGCACAACCTGGTCTGAACATTCCTTGAGGAAAGCGAGGAAGGACTGGCAAGCTTCCTGCTCGGACACTGTTTGAAGTAGAGTACTGTGCCGCCACAACTGTTATAAAAAGTTCTGGGATTTCACGGAGGAACACTCGTGAAAAATATTGCCGAAGTCCTTTGGGATTTCCCAAAGGACTCCGTAGATTTCACGTGTCCAGTTGAGCTTCGAAACATACAGGCGAATAATAACTCCCTACCTTCAATGGCTGATTTAAAACATGAAATCTAAAAACGGAGTCCTCTGGGAATTTCTAGTAGGGGTTGACAGTGAATCTTCGGGAAATCCCAAAACATTTTTAACAGTGTACTTTCAAACCAGTCACTGCTGCAGCACGCGAATCAATGGCTTTCTTTGGGTGCATATTTACAGAGAATGTTTTCTCACCACAGCAGCAATCTGTATGATACTGGCTGCAGCATCAAAGCCACCCGTGTCAATATCCACAATAACAAGTTTGCAGGAGAGTTGAAGTGGCTTACGTTGAGGCAACCAAGATGAAACTGAAGCTGCTGCTGCTGCTCGCTCCATGGTGTTAGACATTCCAATGACATATGTGATTCCATCTCTATTGTTGTCCGCAGAGTCTTTCCAGGAGTTTCTGTTGTTCAAGAAGAGGCGACGTAACTTCACATTATTTTTGTTCTTGTGCGTTGCCTGGTATACTCTTTTTGACTCAAGTTTCTTCCTGTAGTCAGACACTGATGGTGAGAGATTGGCTTTTTTGAAAATCTTCTCAAGGGATTCATTTGCACTGAGGTTCTTCATCAGCCTGCTTCTGCTAGAGTCCATCCAGGGCAGGTTGAAATTCTGGGCATGTGAGGTGCTTGCGATTTGGCAAGTGCTTGTAGACATATTCTGGATCGCCTCTTGCTTTGCACCATTCACCGCAATTATCATGTTCACCATTACATGATTAGTTATGTTAGAGATGGCAGACCGAAGACCCTCTACATCACCTTTGATTTGCTTGATTGCATAACTCACACAGCGCTTGATGTCCTCTATTGCATCCTTAGTAAGAATTTCAGCAAAGGCTTTGTTTTTCTCCAAAGTATACAGAGGATTGTTGACGCTACTCTTCAGATCATGGTTTAGGTCAACTATTTTTTCTATGTCATAGTCACATTCTCTTCTCAGTGCAGCAATGGTGGAGGAGTCACCAACTAATTTCTTCACTCTGACACCAGCTTCTTTCAAGAGGGGATTGTTGCAGATAAGTTTGACTGCAGCAGCAGGTTCCATTCCTTTGGAACTCCCCTCATAATTGATGGCACAAGCATGGTCATAAGGGCTATGACCCCGAGCACACATGGCACAATAATTACTCATAGCAACAGTATCAAGCATTTTTGGGGTCTTCTCCCCTGCCATACTGCCTCGGCCACTGTGACTGTTGTAACATAAACCATTACCACGCTTGTCCCAGCCAAAGTCACAGGATACCACAATATCCGTAGGATCTTCAGGAGTGGTGTCAAATACTTCTGATTGCCTAGTTCGAGGAGTTGTTGAAAAATCTTGTGGAGCAGTGCTTCTTGCCGGGCTGAGAGGAGTACTTAAAGCCAGATGACCGTTGACTGTGGGTGCAGGCGTGCTTGAATTTACGTTACTTGGAGAATTCTGAACTTTGCTATTGAGGTGCAATGTAAAAGGTTAGAACAACAAACTAAAAACTGACAGTGCACAAGTTGACTCTTACTATTGTTTACATGTTCCCAAGGGAAAGGGGGAGGGTGTGGGGAGCAAAACATAGGGAAAAACACAACCTTTCAGACCTCCGAGTTAGCTCCTTCTCTAAAGCAATAGCTTCTCTGCATGACTGCTGTGCCACCTCCACAATACTGGGCCCCATACGCTTCTCTGCTTTGCTGATGGTTTTGGCAGTAATTGTGGGCAAGTTCATGGCTTATAATAGCTTGTTGAACTGGTCGTGTGCAACACCTGAGTCCACACATCCTGTAACAAAATGGCAAGAAAAATAACATGTGTTAGACTAATGGCAATTCGGACTAATGGTTTAGACAACCGATTCTCTTTTCCCCACGCGAAGCGTGCATGACACCCAGTACAACATACCGATAGCAGCTTTACAATTTACGGCATACAGAGGACGACCATCTTGGGTGCTGTGGGGAGCAAGTTCACTTGTTGACACTTCTTTACCGAGCAAACAGATATAACAGCGGACGAGGAACTTCGAGGCCTGCCCAATACTTCTTTCTTTCTCGGCAAAGCGAAGGCTCATAGGGGCATCACAATCTTGACACCACAAGTCCCTTGTGAACTCTGCCAAGTCTATGATACGGCGCCCAGCCTCACACATCACAGGTTCAAGTTCCTCGCGGATAGCTTTCCTGGCCCGGACACTACTCCATTTGTCTTTCATGGCCTTGGCAACCTTCGCCCTGCGCGCCCTCTCCTTCGGTTTAATGAAGGGCATCTTGAATTTGTGAAACAGCACTGACTTACTAAAATATGCACAGACTTGTTGATGTTGACGCAGAGGGACGCGGCTGGAGACTGAGTATGGCGGCCGGCGCGGGTAGGCAGACGACGCGGTAGTGGTACCAACATCACAGCGCGTAGGTCTCTCCTTGTTCACGAAGTACTGGGTGGTAAATATATCCGGTTTCAACGACTAAAACTACTACTAACGGTGGCTAGAACGAAAATAATTTAGCGTTGGACAATTTTAAAGACTTGAAATGAATTTTATACAACAAGGTATGAGTGTGTAGTTCCGTTTTCAGACGTTGGCAGTATCCGAAAAAAAAAAACCTTTTCGGGGGCTTTTCCATGGAAATCCCATGAAAATAGGACATGAAATTGGTGTCAAACTGTTTCTTATGCAACAATAAGCAATTACAAACACCCCAAAGTACTATTTCGCTGTAATTAGACTACCTCAATTTGGGCATCTCCTAAGGGCTATACCACTTTAAGCGGTACGATGTCTAGCGTTCATCTACCTTATAATGATGTCTGGTTGTTCTTTCTCAGATGCAGTCACCAGAGTGTAGTTACCTGTAGTTGCGCTGCTACACCGACGTTTCAATAGAGTATTACGCTCTACGGAAACAATAGACATAGGGAAGAAAACAACGACTGGCCGGTCTGATATAGTCTGCGCGCTCACTGACTGAGCGACATACTGACGTAACCGTCCACTAATCAGCATTCAGGAGAAAACAAAACGGGCAGGCATATTTTCAGGCCCGCTAGGGGCCTTTCTGCTCGCGTGCGAGCGCTTTTAAGGTTCATTTCAACATAGGCTACATAAGGTACAGCCACATCTCCAATACAAATTTTGATAAAAATCGAATCAAAAACTAGATTTTATTTGACTTTTTTAGACTTATAAAAATCTGTCTGGCCAATTTGGAAAGAAATTAACTTGAACATTGTAATTATCACGAAAATCGCCAAAATGATGCCAAGCTCAATGGTTTGCACTTCTATCATTCTTTCTGTCGATCCCTGCGGCTTCCCTTTTCACTTCTCAAAAAACAACAACAAAAAAACAAAAACGTATAAGCCGAAAATTCAAGGCCATGAATTAATTAAGCTTTCAAACGATTTCTTAAAAATATTCGTACTACGTTCCAGTCGACAACAACAGTAAGATGCACAGAGCATTGTATATGGCGCTTGCCTTGTTTTTGGTTAATTGTGGTGGTGTCAGAACGACGAGCCACAACAGCAACAATCAAGTTTTGAAAACTTCCCTCTTTTTCAATAAGGCATTCCGGTTAAGCTAAAATGCAGAAGAATGCGTGGAAGAAGAAAACGGAAATCGCTATGCTTTTACATGGTGACTCCCGTTTTCTTGTTTCCTGCATTCTTCTGCATTTCAGATTCACCGGAATGCTTTATTGTCAACACTCATCATTTCGAAGGGATTAATTGAATGATTATTTCTTCGTGTTCAGATGACTGTTAAAATTTCAGGGGACGCTTAACGAATTTTTATTCTTTAGGTTCCTGTTTCCCTGCAGCGGAATACCCTATAAGGCTGCGGCTGCACGCCTGTTAGAGAGCCTAAGATAATAAATGAGTGCACTGACAATTTGTCGGGCGGCAACCAAGCAGGCCCGACCTCATCTTCGTTAGGCGGAAAGGCGGGCCTACTTGATTTGTATAGACCTTTTCGACGGGGTCCGCTAAAGCGCCAAACTTGGCAACGCCGCGCGGCGCCCCGGCGGCTCCGCCATCTTGGCGTCTGCAGCGGGGCGGGGAACCAAATGAATCATTTTCCCGTTTTCAATGAAAGTAACGAATTAAACGAAAATCTGAGCTCGTAGCGCAATAGTTTATACCTCGACGGTTATTTTGGTATGCGTTTTATCTCGGAAATCGAAACGCCGAAAAAGTTGCAGCTATTTTAAGTAGTCCGGGTTGACCGCCGTAAACAAGAAGCGACTGTTGTGAGCCACGAAACATGCTACTATGCTAGTTTGAGGTGTGTTGTTTGTGTTGTTTCTCGTCGGTTTTGCAAAACTATTAACAAATAAAATATAAGTTGACAAGAAAGTAGGGACGTAGGTGAGTTATACATGCAGAAGCATACTTATTCATGAATGTAAAGTGAAATCGCGGTCTGAGTGTTTGAAGCAATTTTATGTGATGTATCCAACCACAGAATGGAGTTGTCGGGGCCAATTGAGCTGCTAGAGACGGACGGCGTGCCTGGGGCTCAACTTCAAAAGAACAAACCTGTCAACCAGCATACTGTTGCACAGCTGACAAGGTGGTTGGAAGTTAGAAATCTAAAGAAATCAGGCTCCAAGGATGATCTTGTTCTTAGGTAAGCTCACTACGAAGCATTTAATTTTGAAATAATTTTGATTCTCCATGTGCACCCTCTCACTTAGAATGATTTTGTATTTTATATGAAAGGGTTATGAAACATCTTTCCACGGGCCGTTCCAATAAGCTATGGTACGGATGTGATAACGGTGTACCACTCGAAAAGAAAAGAGCTGCAGCCCTACAGAAAATTGGAAGAAAGGTATACATTTATATTTCCGTATTTATTTCGTCCTATGATTTTTAAAAGTTATGTTTGTGATGCAGAAGATAGTATAATTTACGTTTACATCTTAGGTTCCAAACAAAACATTGCTGCCTGTTCTTCAAGGTTGGAGGTCATTCCCTGGATATGACATTCCACCCATGTACAGCGAGGGACATATTGTTCACTATGTCAGGGGTCTCAGACACGCGGCCCGCGGGCCGCAAGGGCCGCACTGGAGAGAGATGGAGCTATGTGATCGCAGTGAGTGCGAGTGAGAGGTCCGACTCGTGCGGCCCGCGTGACGTCACAGTCTGAGACCCCTGCACTATGTGCAAGAAAGATCCCGAGTTTGTGTTTTGCCAAGTGTGCTTCCTAATACAGAGGAGGAATACATTGACGATGACTTTGAAATGCTGGATGGTGCTAATGAGGCAAACTCAAGGAGCACAATGCGAAGAGCTAGGAAGCATGTTGCAGCAGGGTTTGTTCTCAACATAAGGGACAACATGGACAAGCTTCGTGGTTTGTATTTAGTAAAGGGAGAATTAAGAGCCTCTTATAAATTAGAGAAGAGATTCCCCACAGCAACCATTTCTATTGCCTCTGGTAGTGTGCTTGATGCCTCTTGCAGCTGCAAGCAACAGACACTAGCCAGGTGCTCACATGTTGTTGCCCTCTTGCTCTACGTTAGTGACCATATAAAAAAGCATGGCCATAGAGGTAAGTGCATCCCACCCCCATTCAATTCTAGGTAATAAGTGTGTAGTTTGTCTAATTTTGTAAAGTTGCTTTTTTTGACGGGGGAAAACTTTAGATTTTGGTTACTCATGTCTGTTTTCATTCATTTCATATTTCATAGCATACTACTCTTCAACTCCATTTTGTTCATGTCGTTCACAAATATACCATAATTACAGTATTATGAAATTGGTACCATGTCTTCTTCTGGTAAACTAGGATAAAATTTGAAGTATCCCCACCCATCACACAAGGTTTGTACATTTTCACACTTTATTGTTCTCCATGGTTTTGTCCCTAGTTCTAGTAGTAAAGATTACAGTAATTATTTATAGAAAAGATTGTCACATGTAGGCGTTTTACTTCACAACTGTATTTACTTATTTCTCCAACTTATTTTTTAGTAGCAGCATTGTCATCTGACTTCCCTTTGCCCATTTTAACAATTGGTACTTGAAAATTAACTAGGCAACCTATGACATATACAATTTGGTCTAGTATTGGCAACATAGTATTTTTCACTCTCTTCCACAACTGAAAAGTTTTCATGCGGCGAATGGCATGCTCTACATATATTCTTGCATGAGCAATGTCCCGTGTCAACTGCTCTTCTTCAGGAGTGAATTTCTCTCTTGGTCCCAAGAAAGGGGGATGCAAGACCAAAACATTAATTCCATCGCACTCTTCCTCTATAGGAAAACCTCGATCAACAAGAAGTAGGTCATCTTCTTCAAGAAACTCAATGATGCCACTTTCTTTAAAAATTTGAACATCTGTTTTGGAACCTTCAAATCCGGGACTAATGTAGGAAATTCCTCCCCAACAAGAAATCCCAATCATATACAAAATAACATTTGCACCTTTATAATCTGAATATGTATTCCCTTGCATGTCAAAATTACCAGGTCTTTCTATTTCCACCTCAGTTGTGTCCAGGCATACTCTAAAGTTGTTGAAAGGTTTAAATGGCAGGGGCCTGTCTTTCCTTTTTTGAAGGTCCTTCTTCACAAACATGGCAGACTGGATTCTCTTGAACTGAAAATACATGAATTGAATCCAAGTATTGAACACTGCTGATACTGTTGAGACACTTGTTTTGAAAAATGTTGCAAGGTCAGCCTCATCCCATCCACCTCTCAGGCGAAGCAAGGTAATCAGCAGCCGATTGTCAGGGGTGAGATCACTTTCTAGGTCTTTGAGCGGAGTTCCAGCATCATATTTGTACTTCAATCTCATTGCTATTCGTTCATCCAAAAATGCCATCAGAACATCAAATTGAGGGACAGTAATGCCAGTCATCCTTTTGAACTCCCCCTCTGGAAATGTTTTCATGGTCTCAAAGTTGAGAAAAACTCTCACCAGTTCAATCTGAAAAAGAAAAGAAAACAATGAATTAGTAAATTGATTGGTGGTGCATGCTGCATGAATGTTGTTGCAATATAAATTTGTTATTGTGAATATAAATAATTTATGTATAAAGCTAATGCAAAAGTTTTCATAGATTAATCTCTGATTGTATTTTATATTTTCAGCCTTGGCCTGTACAAGCAAGCCTAGAGAATGGGGGAAAGGTAAAGTAGAGAGAGACCCTGGCAAGCTTATTGACAAGAAGTACTACAGTAGAGACTTCAAAAGAAGAGCCCTCTTCGACCCTCGACCAACTTTATGGCAGTTTGGGCCCATGAGTCAAGAGGACCTCAACTCCTTTCATGTACTGTTGGACGGAGCAGGGATACGAAGTGTTCTTTTAAAGCACATGCCAATGCAATACTCAGATTTTGATTTTTTAGAGGAAGATTATCCAAAGCTTTTGGAAATGCTGACACAATTTTATGAGGGATTTTGCAAGTTTATATATGATGCAGCTGAAAGTGATGATGAAGACCCAATCCGTATTCCTAATACAAAGGACCAGGCAAAGAGTGACACTTGGCATATTCTGAGATGCCTCATGTTTACTGCCTCAACATGCAAAGAGGTGATACATATGAAATCTGAAGGGGCAATGAAAAATTATTTAATGTTACATCTTTGGCAAATAACTGAAATTACGGACACACCTGCTATGGTGTGGGGCACAACAAATGAAGCAACTGCAAGAACACAGTATGCAGAGTGGAAGAGTGAAGAAACTTCAACTAAAGTGACAGTAGAAGAGAGTGGCCTCTTAGCAAGTAGAGCATTTCCCTTCCTCGGCTGCAGTCCTGATGGGATTGTGAATGAACCTAACAAGCCACGATACTTGTTGGAAATTAAATGTCCCTTCACACTAAAAGATCATGACCCAAAGAAATTTGATGAGGTGCTAACCTCGGACCAACTCAAAAGATTTCCACTATATAGAAACGAACGGGGTATTTTACAAATGAAAACTGACCATTCATGGTTTTACCAAATACAAATGGGAATGGATGTCAGTAAACTGTCATCATGTGAATTTTTTATCTGGAGCCCCAAAGGCCACATTGAAGTAATGGTGCAATATGATGAAGAATTTTGGGCTCCAAGAAGACAAGCCCTTATAGAGAGGCATGGAGGATTATTGGTCCCAGAGTATATTCTGCAGAGAGTGCCCAGAAATTTGAATCCCCTTTACTTTAACTTCTCCATGGAGTTAGTACCCTCTAATGACAATGACCCTGACGACCCTGATGAGTTTGAGATGCAGTAATGTGGTTAAAATGTATGTTTGCTGGTGTCACTTACCTGTTTTAATAATTTAGCAGCACCACCAAGGCTGCAACAGTCACAGTCATGACACCAACAACGGCAGGAGTCATAACTGGATTTGGATTTATCCTGTAATATAAAGTTAGATGCTCTTACTTTTTGGTAATTGTTATTTTTACAAAATTTCTTATGGTTTTATATATCATTTTAAACCTTTCACATATTTTTAGCTCACTAAATTTGATACCTTGACCAGTTATATTAAAAATATTACTACAATTTTCCATGTATTTTCATTTCTAATGTCAGTACCTGCACTGCATTTGTAACTCCCACAGAAGAAGGCCTCTCTTGCTGCTGTCATACAATAAAAATATAGTTACTACTCATTACTAAGCCAGAAGTGCAGTCTCCACATAATAAAACATACCAATTTAAGTGGCTTATCAAAGAGGTTCCTTCTGACTGGTGTGCTATGGGACGGACCTGGAAAACCATTCTGTTGCTGGTTTGGACTGAGGTTGACTTCGGATGTCTGTCAAGAAGGAACGGGAAGTTTAGTGAATTAAACAGCCCTTAAAATTAAATACACTGTGATTATTATGTTTAAAATAATTGAATACTATTTATTGACTAATTTTAAAATTTGCATGGGAATGTTTCGGTAAAAATTCATACTTACAACTTCATTTGACTGGCACTTATGGTTCACTTCGAATGAGTCATTCTCAGCTAGAGGAACTGCAAGTGTTTCCACTTCTTGAGGTGATGGTGGTGGTTCATGAGAATGAGTAGAGGTTGGAGAAAGGAAGGCTAGAGGTGGAGGTGCTTTGGAAGGAGTGACAACAACCCTATGTCTTCCCCCTGCGGATACAATCTAAAAAACAAATGTGGCATTCGTATAAAAAAAATTTATTACTAATTTTAAGATAAAATTCTTTAGCATACCTCTGTTGTGAATACTGAGGAACTAGGTGACTGTCTGGACTTTGGCCTTGGTGATGCTGGAATCTGACATTTAACAAATACGTGAAACCTCAACTTCACTGCGTTATGCACAAAAATAGTTTCAAAAGAACTGAATGCACTTTCACTAACCCCAGCACTTAATTTAAGCAGCAGCGTTGCAAGCTCCTGTTGACGAGGAGTCACAGACCCAGGGGCAGACTGCAGAATCTTCCTTGCAGACTAGGAAGTGAAAACAACATGATCGAACATTAACACCAGGCTCTTCTCGTCACAGAAAAGGCTTGTGGACAAATTAAAAATAAGTAAATTATTACCGACACAGCTGGACTTGCACTGACAATATCCTCTCTGCCAATCTGATTCTGTTGAGGTGTTTTAGGGCTGTCTGGGGTAGAACATAGTCTTTTTCTAGCAGGGGATGTCAAGTTGTTGAAGTACCATGCAGCATCAATTACATCCTCTGTAGGGTTAGTTGATGATTGTGCTGCACCTGACACAGCAATCTAAAACAAACAATAGAAAATTAGAAAATTGAAGCCTAATATAATGTTAAGAAATGTGGCACACAATAAAAAAAGTTTACCTCATTCCACAATGTGACAATGTTAGGGGTCTTTCCTGCGTCACAATCCTCAGGAGTCTTTAATTCTACATTAGAATTGGATTTCTTTTTCCTTTTCATTTGCAAGCCGCTACTCCCGGCAGATCTTTTCCTTTTCCCTTGAAATCCCATCTTTCCTTAGGTTAGGACCTGAATCATTACGTGTCAGTAAGCTACGAATATCTTTTATCACCTCACTTTCAGTCAAATTAAGTCAAACCACCTCTTACCAACTTTTTTCAACAAGAAGTCACCACAAACACAAGAAAATCAACTGCAAGAACGGAGATGCAGTGCGGAGAGCGAACAACCACTGCTTGGTGTAGCTAGGTTGGATGACGCAGTCAACCCGGACTACTTAAAATAGCTGCAACTTTTTCGGCGATTCGATTTCCGCGATGACAGGCACACCAAAATAACCGTCGAGGTATAAACTATTGCGCTACGAGCTCAGATTTTCGTTTAATTCGTTACTTTCATTGAAAACGGGAAAATGATTCATTTGGTTCCCCGCCCCGCTGCAGACGCCAAGATGGCGGAGCCGCCGGGGCGCCGCGCGGCGTTGCCAAGTCAGACAACCGTCGAAAAGGTCTATTAGATAGCCCTGACATGAGCCTAATAAGGCACTGTTTGTCACGACAACGACGCGATGAGGGTGATAGAGTAATTTGGGCCTTCCAACTCCGCAATTCTAACAACTGCAACAATTTTGTCTTCATTTAAGGGATCAACTTATGTTGCCCGCTGGCGTCATGTTTCATCTTGTCCTGCGAGTATGAACCACGCAGCCATACTGCTTAACCACTCAGTGTTCCTGGACAGAAAAGGGGACGAGCTTCTCACCGCAACGTTTCGGTGCACACGAGATGCACAGAGTTTCACCAGCGTAAGGGGTCTGGGAAGGAACCATACAATAGGGCACCCTTAAGGTGCAATTTCTGTGCTACACCGGTACATTATTTTTCTGTGTCTATCTAACAAAGGAGTGGGACCGCCTGGGAGTCTTGGGATAGGAAAAACGTTAACACTGACGAGAGTAGATAGTGCAGCTCTTACTGTGCCTCGGCCCAGGAACACAGTGCCAGGCAAGGGCAAAGGGTGGGAAAGCTAACAAAAGCTTTGATCGAAGTGAAATCTTTTCAGACGAACTATGAATGGTTGAAACGACAAGAGAAATTAACAATATTACCTATAATGTATCCATTAAAACTAAAGACGCACCTAAGCGTATGTCGATGACTGCTAAAATATTTGGTTGCCACTTTCTGCCACCAGTGGCGCTGATGGAATGGCTCTACCATCTTATTGTTTATCTTGACATGAAATACGGCACAGCCTGGAGCCAGTTGACCAATATTTTCTAATCGAGCATTTGTATCCTTACGGGTCCTTGTCTTTCATGTGAACTACTCCTAGTTTGTTCCAAACTTTTAAGTTTAACTGGCGTGCATTTTAAATTTTGACGGGCCTTTTATTTTGACGTCTCTTGCCCTTCTTTTGCTTGGCCGCAGTCGAGCCTCTGTTCAATCGAACCCACATCGATTTTCTGGGGCAACTGTCAGTTATATTTTTCACTCGGCTCCGAATTGTATTTGTCTTTTAAAGAAAGTATCATGCCTGAGAAAGCACAGCAGACATATGAGTCCTGGACCTCAACTGGCTCAGAAGATGTGAATTTCTAGAAAGCTTTACGTAAAAACTACGACTTTAAATGGGAATAATATTGAAACTCAATAAATATTTGCATAAAGGTGACAAACTGACCATACAATTGAAAAAGAGAATGAAAAAATAATTGAAAACCACTGATGGGAAAATAAATGGTAGTTTTGTTTTCCACCCCTCGACCATTGATATCAACCAAATTTAACACACTACCATTACTTTCTTAACTCAATTTTATGGTGTCAGATTGTGGAACAATGTTTGCAAGTTCTTCTTATGGTCGTTTACAATGGAATTATCTTTTTAAAACAGTTTTAACTTACATTTATTTTTGCTACTTCTTTATATTAACCTTATTTTTTTTAATGATAAAAAATATTTTGGAATATGTGGGCAAAGTTTGGTGACAATCTGGTACAAATAACTTCGCAGGGGGGGAAGGCGGGAGATCGTTCAACACCCCACCTGTTGCATTTTGAGCCGCGTCTGGGTGGATAATTTCCAGATCGCCCCTTAAAATCGAAATCCCAGAATCTGCCTTGAGACCATTTGCTTCCAAGGCAGATTCTGGGATTTCAAGGGTCGATCTGGAAATTATCCACCCGTCCTTGAAATTCAAGAAATAGTCTTGAATTCCAAGAATAACTTTTTACCGTGAAGGCTTTGCAAGCTCAGCCAATCAGGTGAATTCTCTCGAAACAGGAATATTTTGTGGGCATTCACTTGTTTCAAGAGATTCAAGAACATGATTTTTAGTGTGTGTAGGCTAGACGCAACCTCTAAATCGGAAGTGAGTTAAAAAGTTCAAGTAGTGTTTTGTTAATCCCAATTATTCAGATGACGTGGATCATCCGTCGGTGCAGAGGTACTACAGACCAGTGCGAGCATTTTTCAAGAATTGAATGGAAGCATGATATTTGCCCGATGTTGCCCGTTAAAAATGCCATATGGTCGTCGATTATTGAACAATGGGAACCCCGCATGATATGTCCTTTTAAAAAGGTAGTTCAACACTTGTCCACTGCTTGCAATCTACACTCGTCAAAACATTTAGCGGTCCATTTTTTTTTACGCCTGGATTAAATTATCTCCCCCAGCACATAGGAAGACGAGATTTGGCACAGACAGGCATCCCTGTGTGAAGTTTAACATCCTTGAGCGCGAATGTCGAGCTAAACCCCTGACGCCGTACACATCCCCTAATCCAATTCCCCCACGGGAGTGGAAAAGTCGAAAAAAATGTAAAAGGTTAGGGTTGAAGGGGGTACCGGAAGTGGCTAAAATTTGCTGTACGGGTGTCCTAGGAACCAAATTGACGGTTTTTGGCCCGTTCCACCCCCTCCGGCAAACCACCCCCTACCCCCAGTTACCCCCACCCCCTCAAGGGGTAGTTTTTTTGAAATCTCGAACGCTACGGGAAATCTTGTGGTTTGACGTGGGCAAGGACAGCAAAGTGCTCGTTTCACTTTCGCGTCCCCTGGAGGGCTGTACTACCCCTAATTGTCCAACCCTTAACTGAAATTTCCACATTTTTCACACTGAGGAGGCCCGGAAAAGTCTGGAAACTGCAGTTGAGAATGTGTAGGACGCACTTAAAAAGTCCCCGGTGGAAAACGCGACGATTTTTAAAAACTACCCTTAGGGTAGGGGTGACTACCCCTGTGATAGTTACGCCCCCCAGGGGGGAGTAGTGGCAAATCTACTGTACAGCAGCTTAGGGGGTCATGAAATGCACCTGTATTCAAAATAGGAACGCTATAGGACTTTTCGTTTTCGCGCAGCAGCCAAAAATGTGTGAATTTGCTCAAAACCATCCCCTAAGTTAACGCCCCTGTGACAAACTGGGGTGAAATCCGACGGTCGCCACCACGGTCACAGAAGGGTATAACCTTCATCTTTTCTGGTACCGAAAGAAAACCCGCTGGCAACACTCATTCAGGCCGTCGGGCCTGTTAAAAGACGGTACTGCTTGAATTTTGTGCAAGTTTAATGGATTACTCGACTTTTCCACCCCCGTGATCATTAGGGGATGCGTACGGCCTAAGGGGTGTCGCACGACATTCGCGCTCGAGGATGTTAAACTACACACATGGATGCCAGTCTATGCCAAATTTCGACTTCCTAGGTGCTGGGGGAGATAATTTAATCCAGGCGTAAAAAAATGGACCGCTAAATATTTTGACGAGGAAACTAAACTGAAAACTTCTAATTGACCGGAAGTGAAGCTTACCAGCTTAGCTAATTTTCCGAAATTAAATTTTCCGCTGAAGTCTCTTGTATCATACATTTTAAGAGTCCGTGTACTCACATATTAGTGTGTACTTATCAGAGGTCCGTAACTTAACATGAAACTCCCCTTAGCGGTACGTTAATTTATCCGTTAAAGTTATAACTTATGACTTGTGACAATACAATGAAACGCTAAGAGTTATAACTTATAACTTGTCACCATACCATGAAACGTTAAGAGTTAAACTCAAAATGCCAGAACAAGCTCCAACTAGCACCAGAGTATTTTTTGACGACCCATAACTTTAACTTTTATTGCAAATTGTTAAACGTTGCTTTAAATAATTAACGCATAACGCTAATGCGTTACTCGTTAATTTATATAATTACCGCACGCTACCCGGTCACGCGCTTCGGACAGTTCCAAGAATCTTTCTGATTTCTCTCTTTTTCGGCGTACTTTCGGAGTAGTCCGATATGTCCGGGCTGTTCCGCGAGCTGCCCGATCTTCGGGCTAGTTTCGGAATGATATATTTTCATAAGGGTATAATGCTCATGCGTTAAGTTACGGACCCCTGGTTGGTTGAGCGATAGCGAAGTCTATTACTCCAGTGATGATCAAAAAGTTTCGTGTCTGTCTGTCTGTGTGTGTGTGTGTGTTTGTCTGTAATCACGATAACTCGAGAACGGTTTGAGCTAGGTACCTGAAATTTTTAGTGTAACTTTGTCGCATAAAAAGCAAGAACTGTACTGATTTTGAGCCTTCTAACCTAAAAATTGACTTGCCAAAAAAAATCAAAACCAAAACACCTAAAATATTACTTCTAAAAAATATGTTTTTCACATCTTTTTAAGAGGTAACTTGTCAAAGTAGATCCCGTAGAACCGAAATTTCGTCCGTTTGGCTTTATCTCTAACCGTTTAGTCGCCAGAGGGCGATTTCCACATGAAAATGACCCCTTTTTCGCCCACCTTTCTGCTTTTAAAAATGCATTAAAGCGGGCTTATGCAGCCGCTCTCGTGTCCGTCCGTCCGTCTGTCCGTTGTCCGTGTAAGAGAAAGGAGATGAGCTAGAGGTCTGCAAGTTACAGGGTATCTTAGGGTTCACTCCAGGAAAACGAAACGCCTGGTGCAAATCCTAGCAACCACCCCTAAGGAGGTGAAAGGCCCGGGCGGAAAGATCACGAGTTAGTAATGCACTTGTGCACTGTGAAAAATAGTCGTACAGGGTACGGGAAAATTTTCCATGACAAATGTCGTACACTTACAACTTAATTTGTAATTTAAGAGTATGACTTTTGTCGTAATTCCTAACAAT